TATGTATGTATATATTTATCTAGTAGAGATGAAATAAAATAAAATAAAAGTTTCTCACCCATGAACCATGAGTATAAACTTTTATTTCGAACATAGAATGAAATAATAAAATTTATTTCCGTTCCATCCTAAAATATAAATAATAATTATATTATTTTTATGTGGTAAAAATAGAAATAAGAAATAGAATATATATATCATATATATTCTTACATACGTTTTCCCTCGTTAATACTAAAATGATTTAGTTTGATAGATGAAAATATTTTATTTAGGTAATTTAAAATAAAAAGATATATTTGGAAAGAAAACTTTAAATGCAAAATTGCATTTTAATATTTAACCGTAAAAACGACCATAGTTTAGATGATTCTAGATCCATTGAACCCACCGTTTTCTCCTGTTTCATCTCTCTCTCTTAGTCTCTCCTTTTAAAGCCGCTCATTCTTTCTCTGCAAGCAACAACGCGATCACTCTCTCTCCTCGCAACCGACTTAGCTGCTAGTTAAACCTGCGCGCTCCGCCAAGAAGGTTCTCTCCCCCCATCATTAGCTATTTCATTGTTTCCTTCTTTCATTTTGTTTTTCAATTTTCATTTTCAGAAATATTGGAGACTGTATGTCGTTCTAAGGTTTTACATTATAATCAATGTTATTTTCTTTGTCTCTTGTATTGAAAATGATTACTTGGAACCTATGCTTATAAGAATTAGGTTAACCATAGTAGCAGAGTGTTTTGGGAACTAAGTTCATTACTTGATTAGTTTACGGCCTTTAATAATGCTGACTGACTTTTGCTTGGAATATTTTGGGTCTTGAAGTATGTTTGTCTGAAATTATTTTTAAAATCAACTATCTCAAGAATAATGGTTTAAATCTGTATAGAACAGAATCTGAAAAATATGTTAAAACCATTATTTTTCTTAATTCTAATTATTTTTAGTTTATTTTTTTTCAATAGTTTTTATTTTTTTTACTTAGCTTCGTTCACTCCACTTTTCTTATGTAAAAGTTGGTTTTCGTACATTCAGATGAATTGATTATCTTAAAAGTAGTTTTCTATAAATTTATTTGAAGAATTTTAATATTGGATTTTATAAAATTGATTATTGGAATATATTCAATTTTACAGTTGCCAAACATATCCTATGGATTCCACAAAAGGGGACACTGGAAAACCTTCATTGGCTGCAAATGTTACTTCATGTCGAAAGAAGAAGAATGAAGAAGCCACTTTTTTGGAGGACATGAAAGATCACATTGACGAGTTTATTCATGCTTCTATGGATGAGCATAAAACTTGCTTCAAGAACACAATTCAGAAGGTTTGTGTTGTGTTGAACCTAAGCTTTCTTATCTGGTCCATTGTGTGCACCTCCTTGTTAACCTACATATTATGCGCTTTTGGTTTATTACAGATGTTTGGTATGTCCAAGGCTGTTGCAGAGAGGAACACCACTGACGCTGCCAAAGAAAGGAACACCACTGACGCTGCCAAAGACGTTGAGAGTTCTCTGCCTCTTCAGACAACTTTGGAAGGTTAGTTTCTCGTTTGTTCTGAAGAAATAAATGGTCTGTTTCAGAAGCTCTCTCCAAGGAACTTGATATAAATAAGTGATAGATTAAGTTGGTTGACCATTAATTTCATGAAAAAATACCAAGGTACTCTCGTCCAGTAGGTTGTTCAGACTTGTCATTCAAATGGAGTGTGATTGGCACACATTGCTTGATGATACATTTTCCTTCTTTTTAGGTATTAATGGTTTGTCTCTGTTCAATGACTAAACAAAAACCTGTTTTCAATTCATTTATGTTTAGAGAAAATATTTTTGCTATATACTATTATTATTGACTTCAGAAGGCATGTATATATAAGGTCTTACCATTGACTTGGCAAGAACAATTATTCAACTGCAAGTCTATTACTCATTTGCTTGAGCATCAGTCAAACAAAAGATTGCAGATGGAGTTTTAAGCGTTTAATGGGGAGAGTGTTTTGAATATTTAAATCAAATAATCAATTTAAATCATTGTTCGCTAATTGAAAAAAAGGTTGACAGCAACTAACTCCCTAATCAAGGTGAGACACATAAAAATTGAGCATAGAAAATTATGTTAACTTTATTATATTGATAAGAATGGTAGGAACTAAATATTGAAAATAGAAAAACACTCTTTTCCAAGAGTTTCTCTTTTACAACAAATTTCATTTTTTCACAAAAACTAATGGTCAATCACCAAAATGAGCATCCCCTTGTCTTGTTCTTCTTCCCCTGTTTATATTTAACTAACACCTCAAAATTCTCTAAACTCATTAATTTTCTAACTATTGAGTGGTTGATTCTTCATGTTATCTTCAACTACAAGAAAGTAAAACTTGGAATCATGGGATATGTCCTTCTAAAACAATACTCAATTCTTTCATATATTGCGAAATAGTAGTCTAACACCTCAGGCATCCCATATTAGAACGGAACTACGAATGGAGAAAAAGAATTAAAAGTTTTGTTGATGTCAGTTGGACACTGGATCTTCAGATTTCTAAGCCTGAAAATTAGAAGTTACATAGAACAACCCCAATCCTCCCCTCAAGAAAAAAGTCCAAGGAGCAACTAAAATTGTTGGCAGAGTTAGTAGAAATGTACTCAACTAAAACTAATGCAGCATATGACGAATGTGAAGCATATAGCTATCAGTAATTGCGTGGTATTGATAGATATATAATTTTAAGCATATAGGAATTTCCCATGTCGTTCTACCTAGTTTAAAACTATGGCTCTAGTAACCATTAGCATATTATACTATCAGTGAATATCAATTAAGTATTCTATTTATATTTTATCCTTTTTATTTTTTGTTATCCTTTATATCAGTTACCATATTTCTCAATCCTTGGTATTCTAATTACCAGGAGTGGCATCAAAGTAAAAATTAATATCACGTTCTATGAATACATTAAATATATGAATACGTGATCATACATTTAAACTAACAATGCTAGAAATATGTTATTATTATGCTGATTTTTCTGCGGATATTTCAGAAAGCCTTATTCATTATTTATTTTATTTATGATATACATTTAATATCTGAGTAAATATTTTAATTAAATATATTTTACAATCCATTATGATATATATTTAAGATATGAGTATATATTTTGATTTGAAATATTATCATAATCAATTATTAATTCAAAGATTTCTTTTATAATGATGATAAAATCTTGTTTGTTATTATAATTTTTTCATTCTATAACAATATAACAATATATAAAATTGATAGTACTCAAGGTGTCAATAAATGTGAATATGAAATAAAGGTCTAAAAAAATGGAGACTGTGTCCACTAGACTAAGATGGTTTTGAAAAAAAAAACTGCTATTTTATTTATATATAAAAAATAAGAATAAATATTTTTTCCAAATATATAATTTAGATATTCATGAATGTATTGGATTAGACCTTATTTTTATAATCAGTGGCAATCTTGAATAATATTCATTAACATTCTTAATATACCGTAAATATACGATATTTTTAAAAATATTTAAAGTTTTAAGATAATTATCATTTAAATGATTATATATATATATATATATATATATATATATATATATGGGTTTGTTAACATAGGAAAAATGTGTTTTTAGTTGTTATACTTTAGTACAATGTATCAAATTTTAGTAAACAAAAATATTTTCATATATTATGGATTCTAAGTTTTAAAATAAAAAATATTTGAATAATTTCTATTTTAAACTTAAAAAAGAGAAAACAAAAATTTTCAAATTTTTATTCATCTCTTTCATTTCTTATTTCTTTCTATTCTTTCTTTTTCATTTTTCTCATTTTAATATTTTCTATTTCATCCTTACATTAGTCTTAATGGGATTAATGAGCTTTCTCTTTTCTAATGAGAAGGAAAATATTCTTCAATATTAAAATAGTCATTCTTCAATAACATTTGAATAATATGGTTACATAATATCTCAAGAAAATTCAAATTCTTTACAAGGATAATGAATTGAATTTTTTTTCTTTATCCAAGTTTCAGAATAAGTTTCATCCAGTTTGGTATGATGATATATCATGTAAGAGTCATTGTCAATCATACTTATTGCATATTTTATAGATAACTCAATCTCATGTTGAAAGTAACTCAAAGATATGTGGTGTGAGTATGGATGTAGCATGTTCCTTGATTGAAAAACTTGTTTTCATTAGAGGATTATGATATTTTTGATGCATTTTCGTTTTTTCTCCAACTTGAATTTTAATGTTTACAACAACTCCAACCTTAAAAAAAAAAGAGAAAATATAAAAACCTAATAAGTTGATTATAAAAAAGAAAGAAAAAAAACTTCTAGCACCAACCAAAAATATATTCTTATTTGATTCACAAAACCAAACTCGTTTTAACATCCAAAAATAACTTAATATATGAATTTATAGATTCTAAACATTTGGTTATTGTCATCTTAGTGAAAAAAAATTCTTTTAAATAGACTAAAACCCAAATTGACGATGAGAATATAATGTCTCAATATGCAAATGTTATTACTTACATAAGAATGTCCAATCATTAAATCATATTGTCGTTTCAAATCACTTGCACATTTTAAATTATATAACTTATAAACTCAATTTTGAAGTAGTTATATTTTGTACCCAAAAGGAAAAATCAAGTTCGTAACTTTATTCCAATATGTCATATACAAAAAGCATGTTTTGTATTTGGTAATTCCGTTAAAACAACTTCTTTAAATGTATGGTCTTGATAAGTTAAAATTGTTTGTAGATATTTTTCTTTGACAAAGCATATAAAACTCTGAAAATATAACAAATAATAAAAATTATGAAAGAGTTTTGTACTCTTTGTCAAAGGGAAATGTCCACAAACAATTCTGATTGATCAAGACCACTTAAAGAAGTTGTTTCAACAATTGTCAACAAATCATGCTTTTTGTATATGGCATATTGCGACAAAGTTGCCAACTTGGTTTTCTTTACTTTTGGGTACAAAATATGATACAAAATATGATGACTTCAAAAATGAGTTTTATAGGTTATATAATTTAAAATGTGCAAGTGATTTTGAACGACAATGGAATTTGATGGTTGAACGCTTTCGTGTAAATAATAACACATATATTGAGGCATTGTATTCTTATTGTCAATTTTGGGTCTTAGCCTATTTGAAAAAATTCTTTTTTGTTGGGATGATGACCAAACATTTAGAATCTATAAATTCATATATTAAAAGATTCTTGGATGTTAAATCAAGTTTAGTGGACTTTGTGAATCAAGTTTTTTATAATCAACATTAGAAATCAAGCTGGAATAGATGCAAGAATGCGTTAAAAGTATCATAGTTTCTTAAAGAAAACGAGTTTTCCAATCGAGGTATATGCGGTATTCATACTCACACCATATGCTTTTGAGTTGCTTCAACATGAAATTAAGTTATTTACAAAATATGCAACAATTATCGTTAACAATGACTTTTACTCGGTGTGACATCATACTAAACTTAAAGAAGGTCGTTTCGAAAGTTTGATAAAGGAAAAAAATTCAATTCATTATTTTTGTAAAGAATTTAAATTTTCTAGGATACTATGTAGACATGCTATTTGAGTGTTATTGAAGAATGACGATGGAAAAGAGAAATATCATTGATTCCATAACCAAAACACATTATCAACTCTAATATTAAACAATTTGCTGAAAATATAAAAAACTTTAGAATGTACTAAATGATTGTTTTTTAATAATCTTTTATCGCTAAAAGCCAAATTTGTAGTCGCTACTTTATTACACTTCCTTTTTACATGAAAAAAATAGCAATAAGTCCAAAATTGTGAAAGTACTTATTAACATATATTTGAATCACATGTGTTTTGTGTCAAGAATTACTCATACTTTCAATAAACTAAATGGATAATAAATTTCAATAAAATTAGCAATAAGTCCAAAATTGTGAAAGTACTCATTAACATATATTTGAACCACATGTTTTGTGTTAAGATAATTTTATAATAAGTTTTCATTTTATATATAATAATGTCTCAATAAGTCTCTATTTAACGGCGTCATTATTATTTACAAAAAATAGGGACACCCAGAAACCTGTTAAATAATCTTACAAAAAATAATTTTATAATAAGTTTTCATTTTATAATTTTTGTTTTATCTAATTAATTGGCTTAGAAAAAATCAGAAACACTCGTTCTTAAACAATTTCTTAAAAAAATGATTTATAATGAATTTTCATTTTATAATTTTTATAGTATATAATTTTATCTAATTTTCACAAGTATCATTCGATGATGATTCAACATATGCAGATGATGAAATTAGAATGGTTAGTGAACATGGTGAAATTAAAGAGATTTTGAATGAACCTTTGTGAGAGAGGTGAGTAAGGATTTGGGTCTTTTTTTTTAGTTTGAGAATAAAAATTATTAAAATATCCTTAACATTAAAATTTAGAATCCATGATATATAAGAGTATTTTTGTTTACTAAAATTCGATACACATTGCTAAAATATACCAACTGAAAAACAGATGTAAGCGTGTTAGAAAACTCATA